GATTGTAGAAATGAGGTCTCACCAAGTTGCCCAGGCTAGTCTCAAACCCGTGGGCTAGGACAATCCTCTCACCTCGGCCTCCCAAAGTGCTGGGATTATAGGTGTAAGCCATCTTGCCCAGCTGATATTTCTTAATGACACTCATGCATAATTTTATTTGAGTGTCACAAATTCTTGGGTAAAGTATTTATCATCGATGTGATATCAACAAGTTAAATAGGGAGACTAGATGTTTCATAGAATGACGGAGACACTCCCGTGCGTTTTCTTGTGTGTTTATTGTCTGTCTCTTCACACAATGTAAGTCCCAAGAGAGCAGAAGCCTGCTGTTTCCACGACGTTGATGTAAAAGAGAGAATACTGCACAGGGAATACCGAGATTGGTCTTTCTCTCACCGACACGGTGCTAGATGATGAAGACACCTGTCCTTAAGACATCGACAAGGTCAGTTTCTGGTTTGGATTCTGCTGCTCAGGAGCGTGGAACCCTGATAAGTCATCTATCTTCAGCTTCAGTTCCTTGTTTGTAAAATGAGAGGCTGAGTGTGCCAGCTAAAGCGTGCTAGCCATTTTTCGCTGCCATAGCTATGCTCATGCACTCGGTTCCTAATGCCTTAAACATCCTTTCCCTACCTGGATCTGTTGACAGCTCTCTCATTGGTCCCTTCAATATCCTCTCCTTTCTATAAGCATTTCTAGAGACTCAATCAACTAGAGGAAACTTGTACCTTTTCACATATTTTGTTTTTGTTATTGTATCCTTCGGACCTTGTAACAGTATGGCAAGCTGCGTACTTAGAATATAGATTAAGTTAAAGGAATATTATTAAAAAAATAAAAGAGGGGCTGACCAAAAGTGAGACGACTGAAGCCCTTTTCGGATGCCAATTTTGTGATACATCTGCTTCACCCTTCCGCTTCAGTCACCCCCTTCGCAGTACGCACAGGAATGCGCTAGGTGCCACCCAGGACCTCGTCCATGCGCAGGGAGAAGTGCAACCACTCCCAGAACTAGCTTCTCCAAGAGCTAGGGGCAAGCTAAACAGAAACATCTGGAGGCGGAAAACAGCGTGGCAGGAATTGTTGGTCTGCCTCGGTGTCCCGGACGCAGGAGGCCGGCCGTCGCCCCGCCCCCTCTCGGCGTCGCAGGGCGCGGAGCCCGCTCCTCCAGACTGGAGTTTCCCCAGGCTTGGAGAGGCGAAGGGGGAGGAGGGACCCACCAGGCAAAGAGGCCCCCCGCTTCCAGGGGGAGGGAGTGAGGGCCTGCAAAGACGACCCTGGGGCAGAAGGAAGGCTCCGATTGGCCGGAAGGCGGGTGACGGACAGGAGGCGGAGTTTCCCGGGGGCGGTAAAAGGGAGGGGGTGTGCGCGGCCGGGTGTCAGTTTCGGATCCCAGCCCGCTCGCCGCTGCGAGGGACCCGAGCCCAGCCTGCTGCTAAAGTGCTTCCCTGCGCCGCTGACCCGGAGCTTCTGCGCCCAGGCACTCCCGCCCGGTTCCGCTGCGCCCGCGCCCTCCACCCCGCGCAGCCCGGGGCCCTCCGTGCGTCTCTCCTGCTGTGCTCGGCTCCGGGAGACTTTCCGCTTGTTTGTTTCCTCCGCTTACCTCTTTGTTGCTCCGAAAACCGGCCTCTCCGAAGCCCCCTGCTCGGGAGGGAGTTCGACTTCTCCAGGAAGGCGGCTGCCGCACAGTGCACCGGCGCCCCCTGCGGTCCCGTGCGCCGGCTGTGCGCCCACCCGGCTCGCCGCCCGCTTTCGTTCGTCCGAGGAAGCTAGCCGAGACCTCATTGATGCACCCATTCCAGTGGTGTAACGGTGAGTCCTTAGGGGCGGGGGGCGAGAGGACCCGGGACTGGCCGGAGACGCGAGGCGGGGCGCGGGGTTAGACATCCGAGGACTCGCCCTCCTCCGTCAGGAGCCAAGTTTCCCATGCAGTGCGACGGTCGAGCAGGCGTCCTGGAGCCCAACTCTGCTCTGCACAGCGCGGGATTTGAAACAATCCGGGTTTAGCTCGAGGGCCTGGAAGGGCCTCTGGATCCGGTGGCGGGCCGGGAGCGTGGGAGCCGAGGGGTCTCCGGCCTTTGTGTGTCGCTCGGCTCTTCTGTCCCCTTCCCCTGCCATTGTGCGCTCAAACTCCCTTCTTTGTTGTGGTTGTTGGAGGAGAATTAAATCCGCGCTCGGGCTGGGATCTCCTAGAGGGAGCTCAAGTTCCCGGCCTGAAACTTTGTAGGCTATTTTAAATATGTATACATTGCAGCGTGCGGGACGGGCGCGGGGGTAGCTTCTTCGGTCTTTGTTGGCTTCCCTCCGGCCTCAGCCGGGCTTTGTGCTTAGAGGGGTGGAAGACTCTGGGTTGAAGAGTCGCTTATTGAGTTGCTAAAGCCTTGCGGATATCTTGGGCCCCACTCCCCCTGGGGTGCGGGTCTGGCCTAGCGGGGAGCTGTGCCTTCTAGCCCCAAGCCCAGACTCTAGTGTCTGTCCCCGAACCTAGGCGGAGGCAGCACCTCCAGTCCAGACCCAACAACCTCTCCCCAAATTCCGCCCCCCGCCCGGGCCTGGGTGATGCTACTAAGTTATTTCATTTCACCTGCGGCTTTTTGGCGGTTCTGGTGGTAAAGGGTTAGGTTTGAGTCTGAATCCTCAAGCTACCTGAAAAGAGGGTCTTTCTGAGCGGGAGACACTTCAGAAGCTTAGATGCTAATACTCTCCCTCGCTCCCCGCCCCCCATACTCCCCTAGGGGTCCTAGAGTCTTGATCTCGTTGTTCTAATGCATGGAGAGTTTCTGGGAGGGGGAGATGGGAAGCAGCTGGCTTTATCTTTGAGTATGGCAAGCTGGCTAAGTTAGAGAAAAAAAATCATTCTTGAGAGTAGACTCCTGCCAGATCTTGGATTAATTATTTCAAGAGGCTTTTGTTTTAAGGCAGAGTTTGGGCAGCATGTGTCTGAGTGTCCCCCATCCCCCTTCCTCCTTTTGCTGGTCGGATCTCATTTCCTGAAAATGAACCAAGCTGTATGTAATAGGCAGTGTTGCGGGAGAGGGGGCGGGGGCGGGGGTGGGGGTTGAGGAAGGCCCGTGCATCCCAGCATCTGGGAAAGATTCCCGTTGGCTGCTAAGGAGAAACAGTTCCCAGATCCCCTGGTCTTTCTTGGCCAGCCCTTCTCTGACGTCATCTCTGCTCCCAGCCTGCCAGAAGAGATGAGACATTCTGATGTCAAGGCTTTCATAGGTTGGCGGAGACAATGGAACAGACTTAGGAAGAAGAAATTAGGCAGCTGTCAGTTACAAGGGCCTCTCTGGGCAGCTCCTTTTCAAATGAGGTTTTAGACCCGTGAGGACTTGCTGCTTTACCTCTTCACTTTTTTTTATTTTTTCCCCACTTCTTAAAGTGACTGAGAAATCCTGTTCTTTTACTCCTGTGAGGAAGCAATCCCTCCGGTATCCCTTTGGAAACTCTCTGGAGCCCCTTTTTCCTGGGGCTGGTATTCTCTGTCCTTACAAGTTTTAGAGGAAAAACTTATTCCTCTGTCAGCTTTTGGTCAATAGACTATTCTTTTTTTCCATTTCCCTTTAATAGTATTCCAAGTAAATTAATCATCTTCGTGACTATGAAGTTCTTCTCATCTCTTTCTGTATTGGCATAAGTCTCAAGCTCACTGACTCAGTTCTGGAGCCACAGGGAAAGCCTATGTCTGACAGGAAAAGATGATGGAGATAAATGATCAGAAACTGACCAGAGAATTTGGGGACCAGAATAGATACACAGCTGCTGCAGTAGCCCATGCCAGGCTCCTTACATTCATTCCAACTCATAAAAGAAGACGCCTATCTGCAAGGAAGAGCCAAGGCAGACAGGGGTTTAGACCATCTTGTAGCATCAAATATTGCTGAAGCAGTAGGTAGGGAGACAGCTGGGGTCAGAGATTTCATTGGTACTGAGGACACAGTTTTTCTGGAAGGGAAGTCTTGAGACCCTTTTCCTGTACAGACTGAAGGTTGTCCTTCTAACCAGTCCACCATGATGTCTTTATGGAAAGTTCATCTTTGGCCCACAGAGAGCAAATATTTGAGTATGGAGGGGTGTGGTGAAAACTACTTTCTATCTAACCCCTGCTGGAGCCTAGAAGCAAGGAGCCTCCTGTAGGGCACAGCAAAGTTTTGTAGCTAATTACTTCTTTCACTTTAACTTGATCAAGAAGTCTTTTCAGAACAATAACCTGTTTTACTTTCTGTTTTCCCACAATGTCTAGGTCGGTGCATAAAGCAGGTCCTCAATAATACTTGTTGGTTGACTGGTGATCCATTCGCTGAGGGAAGTTTCTGGGCGATTTTCCCAAACATCACTCTCATTACTTTGAAGTGGGTGCTTTTGCCAAGGGGACCAGGTTGTTTTGAGAAAATGGGGTTATTTATCTATTAACTAGATATTGAGAGCAAGCCAAACACTGGGCTAGGCTAGCACTGGAGGATATACAAAAGTCCAAGTTGGTGTGCTCAGACCTGGAGCACTGTGTTCTCCAGTGTCCAGCCTTGTTAGGACTCTACAGACAGTGGCTCTTATCTTTTTCTCAGGATGCTAGACCCTCCTTTACTATGGTACCTCACTCTCTATGGTGAAATCCTGTGTCTTTTTTCCTGCATGATAAGATCATCTAATCATTCTTTGCTCTCTTATCCACATTGTCTACCATAGTGTTTATCATCTAATCAATGCTTAATGCATGTTTCAGATCAATTAAGTTGATGCTAGGAACAGCTGGGTAATGTAAGACAGCTACTTAGTAAACAAGAGCCAGAACAAGTGATAGAAATTGTGAGCACTTTAGATTCAAGGAAGAAAGGGTTCACTGGAATATCACAAAGACCAGGCTTGGCAGTCTGTGGAAAGGGAGCGGGCATTTCAGGCAGGGAAAGCTGAGGCAGGCAAGGACAAGGTTGGGCAGGAAATAGTGAGAAAAAAACTGGCCCACGTGGGGTGGTCTGGGAGAACATTTAGTGGGAAGTTGTGAGGAGACAGGGTGAACCTTTAAAAGGACTCCAGGGTGGGCATATTGGCATGGGCCTATAATTCCATCACTTTGGGAGACCGAGGCAGGAGGATTACTTGAGTGCAGGAGTTCAAACCAGCCTGGGTAACATGATGAGCTCTGGTCTCTAGAAAAAAATTTTAAAATTAGCTGGACATGGTGGTACATGCCTATAGTCCCAGCTATTCAGAAGGCTGAAGTGGAAGGATTGTCTAGGTCAAGGCTGTGGTGTGCTGTGGTCATGCTGTTGCACTCCAGCCTAGGCAACAGAGCGAGACCCCCAACTTGAATAAAATAATAAAATAAATAAAAATAAAAGGACTTCCAAGCCAGTCATGAATCAGGAAAGTGCCTAGAACCCAAGGCTTTAGTACAGAGAGGACTTCTTAGTTATGTGACTGTGGGCAGGTTATTTAATGATTAAATCTTTTTTTTCCATTGGTAGGGGAAGTAGTGTTTTACTGTGGCATTACAGAGGTTAAGTTGATAGCATGAGACTGTGCCAGGGATATGAGGGGTATACCGTAAATTCTAGTCTTCTTGTTAGTCAAGGACTCTTCCCTCTTACCCTTTTCTGTTTTTCAAAACCTGGTCACATTTCCACCCCAATACCAAATATACTAGCATGGGAAGTGATTGTCACCATGAGTAGACCAGTCAGGATTTATTCCGGAGTCCTGTAAGAAGGGAAGCACTAGCCAGTGCTTTTCAGACTGAATGTATAGAGGAATCTTGTTTGTTTTTGATAGGGGTGACAGTTGGAGGGGGCTGTGGTGAGGATCTCTCTCTCTGTTGCCCAGGCTGTAGTGCAGTGGCATGATCACGGCTCATTACAGCCTCAAACTACCAGGCTCGGGTGATGCTCCCACCTCAGCCTTCCGAGCAGGGAATGACAGGTGTAGGCCACCACACCTGGCACGCGTTTTGTAGTGATGGGGATCTCACTATGTTTCCTAGACTGGTCTCAAACTCCTGGGCTCAAGTGATCCTTCCAGCTCAGCCTCCCAAAGTGCTAGAATTAGCCAGGCATGGTGGCTCATGACTGTAATCCCAGCACTGGGAGCCGGAGGCAGAAGGACTTGCCTGAGCCCAGGGCCCAGGGGTTTGAGACCAGCCTAGGCAACTTGGTGAGACCTTGTCTCTACAGTAAATAAAAAAATTAGCTGGGCGTGGTGGCACGTGCCTGTAGTTCCAGCTACCTGGAAAGCTGAGGTAGAAGGATCACTCTAGTCTGAGCAACAGAGTGAGACTTGAGTCACCACACCACGCACCGAGAATCTTGTTTAAAATGTAGATCCTAGCCAGGCTCAGTGGCTCAGCCTGTAATCCTGAGCTTTGGGAGGCTGAGGTGAGTGGATTGCCTGAACCCATGGGTTCGAGACCCGCCTGGGCAACTTGGCGAGACCTCATCTCTACAATAAATCAAAAAATTAGTCGGGCGTGGTAGCGCGCACCTGTAGTTCCAGCTACTTTGGAAGACTGAGGCGGAAGGATTGCCAGAGCCTAGCAGGTTGAGGCTGCGGTGGCCAAGAGCAGCCACTGCACTCCAGTCTGGGTGACAGAGTGAAACTCCAACTCAAAAATAAATTAATAAAATAAAATAAAATATAGATCCTGATTCATTTTGTCTGGGGTGGGCCCCAGAGTCTGCATTTCTACCAAGCTCCTGGGGCATGTTGCTGCCACTGGGAATACAGTTGAAGCCTTGAGTAGAAAGGGGGAAGGTGACTAGTAAGGGAAGATGCAGGTTTTCCCAACCCCCATTGCCACTTTCTGGAACGCTGGCCCTGCCTTGTAGTGAACCATTTCTATTCTAGTCCTGGCACAGCTTGTCTTCTGGAGCAGGTGGCTTAAAAATGACAAATGACCTTTGCAATTGCCCTTTGCAATTTACAAAGCATATTTCTTACACCGTCATTTTCAGTCTTCTATATTTTGTTTGTTTTCATATGACAGTGTGAAGCTTAGAGAGGTAACGTCTTAAAGGTCACACAACTAGCTAGGGAGAGAGGTAGAGTTGGAACCTAAGTAATACATTTCCTCACCTAAGCTCTTAATTTTGCTACTGCACTATGGGGGCTTCTATGTGATGAAATTGAGTTTTCTGGCTGGGCATGGTAGTTTATGCCTGTAATCCCACCACTTCTGGGAGACCAAAGTGGGAGGTTTGCTTGAGGCCAGGAGTTCCAAGACCAGCCTGAGCAAGAGAGCTGAGACCTAGTCTCTGCCCAAAAACAAAACTAAAAACTAGCCAGGTGTGGTGGCTGACCCCTATAGTCTCAGCCTCTCAGGAGACTGAGGCAGGAAGGATGACTTGATCACAGGAGTTCGCAGCTGCAGTGAACTTTGATTGCACCACTGTACTTCAGCTTGGGTGACAGAGCAAGACTCTTTCTCTAAAAAAATAAGATGTTCCTGAAGAAAAAAAAAAAAGAGCCAGGTGTGGTAACTCACCTGGTAAATCCCAGCACTTTGGATGGGAGGCAGAGGTGAGGATTGCCTGAGCCCCTGGGTTCAAGACCAACCTGGGCAACCTGGTGAAACCTCATCTCTACAATAAATCAAAAAATTAGCCAGGCATGGTGGCACATGCCTATAATTCCAACTACTTGGAAGGCTGAGGTGGAAGGATCCCCTGAGCTCAACAGTTCAAGGCTGCGGTGACTGTGAACATGCCAGTGCATTCCAGCCTGGGGGATAGAGTGACACTCTAACTCCAAAAAAAAAAAAAAGAAAAAAGAAAAGAAATTGAGTTTTTCATTTTCTGCCCATTGCCTGAATCCTTGATCCCTTAGATGGAGATAACTGTTTTAAATACTGTGGATAGCATTCAATTTTGTAGATTGGTTCAGTGATTTAAAGATTACAAGCTTGCTGGGCAGAGTGGCTCACGCCTATAATCCTAGGACTTTGGTTAGGCGGAGGTGAGAGGATTGATTGTCTGACCCCATGGGTTCAAGACCAGCCTGGACAATTTGGTGAGACCTCATCTCTACAATAAATCAAAAAATTTGCCGGGCATGGTGGTGGGTGCCTATAGTTCCAGCTATTGGAAGGCTGAGGTGGAAGGATCCCCTGAGCCCAGCAGCTTGAGGCTGTGGTGGCCACAAGCATGCCACTGTATTCCAGCCTGAGTGAGACTCCAACCCAAAAGAAAAACTGAAGCCACCTATAACCCCAGTACTTTTGAAGGCCCAGGCAGGAGAATTGCTTGAGCCCAGGAGTTTGAGATCAGCCTGGGCAACACATCTCATCTCTGCAAAAATTAGCATCATGGCACGCAACTGTAGTCCCATCTACAGGAGAGGTTGAGGTGAGAGGATTGCCTGAGCCCAGGATGGTAAGGCTGTAGTGAGCTGGTATTGGCACCTCTGTACTCCGGCCTGAGCAACAGAGTAAGACTATGTCTTTAAAAAAAAAAAACCAGGCTGGGCACAGTGGCTCAGCCTGTAATCCCAGCACTTGGAGGCCGAGGCAAGAGATTGCATGAGCCCACGGATGTAAGACCTCATCTCTACAATAAATCACAAAAACTAGCCAGGCCTGGTAGCCATGCGTCTGTAGTTCTAGCTACTTTGAAGAAGGCTAAAGTGGAAGGATTGCCTGAGCCCAGCAGGTCAAGGCTGAACTGCATTCCAGAGCCTGGGCAACAAGAGTGAGGCTCCGACTCAAAAATAAACAAACAAAAAACCAACAACCAAAAAAACTCAAGCCAATGAATCAGAGACTCAGAAGCCCAGAGAATGCCAGTTCTCTTCTGTCCTTGCTGACAACCCCAGTGATAAATTTCCAACTCTTACAAGATTTTTCTCTCTCTTTGCAGGGTGTTTCTGTGGCCTGGGACTGGTTAGCACCAACAAGTCCTGCTCGATGCCACCCATCAGTTTCCAAGACCTTCCCCTCAACATCTACATGGTCATCTTTGGCACAGGCATTTTTGTCTTCATGCTCAGCCTTATCTTCTGCTGCTACTTTATCAGGTGGGTGGATCCCTGGCTGACCCTGGGGACAGGTTTAGGAAGAAGGGAGCCTGGGTAATGTGAGCTGAGTGAGGGTTCCACAGCAGTCACCACCCTTATGCCATAGCCGCTGTTTGGAGGACATGGCTTAGCCTGCCCTTCCCTGGGCCCCTGAGTCCTGGTGTTTCTATTTACATCAGCCTATCAAGTTGTCCCTGAGCATATAAGGTCACCAAGGCTTGGGCTGTGTCCCCCCTCTTGGCCAGTCATTCTAAGGTTGCCTAGAATGACTGTCTGACTGAATGAATAATAAAGTTGGTAGTCCGTTAGCTTTCTTCCCCACTCATGCCCTCTGAATGACTGAGAACAGGTGGGCATCAGCTCTGCCAGCAGCATGTTCCTTTGCCCTCCTAGGAAATCCTGTTGTCAGCCCTCCAGTTGCTAATATTAGCAAACTGATGTCTGGAGAGCTCCTTGTTTATTCTGCCTTGTAAGCTTTTATTTTTGAGAGTGAAAAAAAAAAACCTTAAAACATCACTTATGCGTAATTCTTGAGGGCTCCAGGGAAAGACTGGAGCTTGGCAGGGTCCTCCAAGCTCCAGGAACCATTTCTCTGCTGCCTTCTGAAGGACATGGGAACTGATGGCTGTTGTCTACAAAAAAAAAAAAAAAAAAATGTGGCGCATGACTGGTTTTTTTTTTGAGTTGGAGTCTCACTCTGTCGCCCAAACTGGAGTGCAGTGGCCGCTCCCAGCCACCGCAGCCTCAACCTGCTGGGCTCCGACGATCCTTCCACCTCGGCCCCCCAAGCAGCTGGAACTACAGGCACATGCTACCACGCCCGGCTAATTTTTTTTGATTTATTGTAGAGAGGAGGTCTCGCCAAATTGCCCAAGCGTGTCTCGAACCCACGGGCTCAGGCAATCCACTCACCTCAGCCTCCCAAAGCGCTGGGATTACAGGCTGAGCCACCAAGCCCGGCTCATGACTAGTATTTACAGTGGAAATCAAAGTAGTGTTTCTTACTGGGGCATGCTGTTGATATTGACAAAATCCCTCATTGTATGGGACTGTCCTGTACACTGGAGAGGGTTGACCATCTCTGGCCAGTAGGACATGCTGCTTTAGAGCCATTGTAACCACCCGCCCTTTTCCCTGTCACCCACACATTGTCAAATGCTTGGGTAGACATCAGTTGTAGTCTAGGTTAATGCCTGATCAAATCATTTAAGAAAATTAAATTACGATTAAGGGAAAGGAGACCTGGTTGGCTACTGAGACATCCTGTTGGATTTGAGTGCTTTGTTGAGAGTTAGCTCCAGGGTGATAGATACTTGTTCATCTTCTCTAAGGAAGGGTTCCCTCTAAGAAGGTGAAGTGCCCTCAGGCTCTTGTCCCTAGTGCTCCCAGTAGTTACCTTGGACCACTTCTTTCTCAGAACTTTTCAACAGGTCCCTAGGTCTGTAATTTTCCACTAAAGTCTGTGCTGGCTGGTTGCAGTGTCTCACGCCTGTAATCCCAGCACTTTGGGAGGCTGAGGAGGGGAGGACTGCTTGAGCCCAGAAGTTCAAGAACAGCTTGGACTATGCCTCTACAAAAAATTAAAACATTGGCTGGGCACAGTGGATCACCCCTGTAATCCCAACACTTCAGGAGGCCAAGATGAGAGGATTGCCTGAATCCAGAGGTTCAAGACCAATCTGGGAAACTTGGCGAGACCTCGTCTCTACAATAGATTGAAAAATTAGCCAGGTGTGGTGGCACATGCCTGTGGTTCCACCTATTTGGAAAGCTGAGGTGGAAGAATCGCCTGAGCCCAGCAGGTTGAGGCTGCAGTGACCATGAGTATGCCACTGCACTCCAGCCTGGGCAACGGAGTGAGACTCTGACTCAAAAAAAGAAAAAAATTAGCTGAGTGTGGTGGCACATGGCTCTAGTGCCAGCTACTCAGGAGTCTGAGGCAGGAGGATTGCTTAAGCCCTGGAGTTTGAGCCTGCAGTGAACTGTTTGTGCCAGTGTACTCCAGCCTGGACCAAAGAATGAGACCCTTACTCCCA